ATGCCTTACAGATGCATGCGGATTTGCTGTTTAATTATAACACATTTATATTTTGAATTTATATAACAAAATGTTTTCGTACTGCCAGTTTTTAATTATAGTCAAGAATTATCAAAGTAGCGAAAAGGTAAAAATAAGTTTTGTATTTTTTCATTAAAATATTGAATTGGAAATTTTCAACCTGAAAGAAATCTTATGCACACTTGTGCTTAAATGTGCCAGACCAGATACTTCTACTGTTCAGATGCAATGAGTCGTTCCAGCTTTCGAAATTAATGATCAGATAGAGGGCACTCACCACCTTAATAGCTACTCATAGTCGAAAAGTGGGATTGACTGTCACTTGTAATATGCACTCACAGATGAAAATGTGGACAGTGTTTATTGGTGTTATGTCTCGAACCTTGGACCCTTTGATCCACAGAGCAGCACGCAAAGAACTAGGCAATACCCAGACCTGTATTAAATATACTTTAACACGTTAAATTATAATTTGAATGAAATCATCTCCTATAGATTGCAAATAAATAGAATATACTTGTATATGTTTTACTTAAATCTTTCAATGTAAAGACGGTATGTTCATTTATCTTTAAACAAGATAATTTACTTGTTAGCAAATTAAGCATATTTGAATGAGTGAATTAATTTAGTTCGTTGTTTACCACGAATTGGTAATTGCATAACCTTAAACTTGTCTTTTATTCTTATTTGTGTAATTAATTGGTACTGCAGTTCAAACAGAGAAAGCAATGGGAAATCTTTCTAGAGGTATTTGGTGCTGGTTCAGTTTGTTTATCTTTGACTAGAGCTAAGAGGCATACCCAGCCAAAGAGCGATTTATTAATATTATCATATTTCAAGGGACCAAGATGATTTTTAGAGAGTCATAAATCTGTCATAGGGTTCTTTGAATGTAATTACAAGTAGAAGCAAGGTATCATCAATACACATAATCCTTATTTCTTACGAATACTTTATACATCGCTATATACTTCTTCCACACATATGTAGTGATTGATTGTTTTAGGGATTTGTAATATTTCGATAGTCCGGGTAAAACTTTTTCAAAATGTCACTGCTAAGCCTGCGACCGATCTCAGTGGCCGAGTCGATGTATACTTCTAATATCCAAACTCGAGAACCTAATCCTGAATACTCGCCTCAGGCCCCGATCCAGTGATAGTCTTAGAAACGCACATAGTGTTAGACATATTTCCTCAAGAAATTATAACAAATATAGTGATAATAAAGTATAATAATACTGTAATACAGTCTGTAGCTAACATTTACTAGATTTTCAGGATAGTTGTTATGAGTTGGCTACTTGTGTGACATCCACTGAATACTCAGCGGCATTTTTCGAATGATGTTAGGATATTTTAATTTATGGCAAATAAAACTATAGTTAAAAATAAATTTATCTTTAGTAAAAATATTAAGAAGCAGTTAATATATATGATTAGGGCCGATCTTAGAAGGATGCAGGCCTAACTCACATGGCTACAGAAGTAACACAAATATGAATCTTACCTTTTCCTAGTTTTCATGCTATTTTCAAAAGAATAAGTTGCCATGTGCTGTGAGACTGTTGTATTTTCTTTGGTAATCTTTACATGTGATGTGAAATGGAATTATCCACATTTGTACGGTAATTGTTACAATTTTAAATTACAATATTCAAAGAGTAGAACACATCATTACAGAATATTGGGCCATACAATTTAAGATTGAACCCTGTCTTAGTTGTTGCAATCTTGTAAATAATATTGGGATAAGATACAGAGACATATGATTTCATGACAGCTTTTGTTGTATGACATTATATACTTGTAGTTAAACAATAATTGGTAATTGACAAAAGTTAATGTAATAATTAATTTGAATAATTCCTTATAATTCTCATAGTAAAAAACTGTATGTTTTATCATGTTATTTTTTCTTCTTATCTTAGCATATGGTTCAGACACAGATGAGTTCGTATGGCCAATATACACAAAGTGGTGATCAGACACAGACCTGTGTACAGCAGCGAAGTGACCAGAAGGATATTGCAACTTTCTCGTCTCCAATTATCACCACTAATGGCGTTGAACAACAGACTGTAAGTTTTATTCCACGTGATTTTTGGTTTTTAGTACTGTAATCAAGATCATATTATAAATAAATGTTTTAGGGGTTTTTTTTAGTCAACAATTATGAATTTAGTTTTTTCTTTTGAAATGAGTTGAGATATAACCATATATTCATCTATGCTACCTACAGTAATAGGAGTTTCGAACTACTATCGGTCTGTGTACGAATTATTAACTATGAAGTAATAAAGGCAGTATCAGTGAACATTAAATATGACATCCTTTGATTGCATTTTTTATTATTCATTAAAGAAGATTGAAATAAAATTCAATGTTCATGTATTTGTAAGAAAGTTTAGCTTCAGTTTCAGAATAAACTTATTTTTTACAGAAAATTTAAAAACACCAAAGAGCCAACTAGATGAAAAAAAACTAGTTTAAGGCTATTTTAATAGTCAACTACCTTAATATCCACTGCTTGTCCTTATTGATTAAGTTAACTCACTAATAAACATTAGTTTTGAAAAGGATTACATCATCAGTGAGCTTTCTAAACATTTATTTTGCAAAAAATATTGTGTCACTAAACAACTCCCTAAACATTTGTTAAATGTAGATGATCTTGATCACAGAAATTTCTTTGAAATACAGGTTTACAGGCTATTTAATAGGGGTAGAGTATTAAATAGGGGGGGGGGGAGTGGCTTTATATGTAAAATGTGAGTCACATCCTGTTGAAGGTTAGGATATCAAAGATAATAGCAAGGAGATTGAATCCATTTGGGTTCTATTAGTGGATATAAA